GAACGTATACCCTGGTTCAACGTCTTGGAAGGGCCATCTTTCGCGACGCTTCGGAGTGGAGGAGGGGTTGGATGTAATAGGCAGCAAATTGCTGATTTCTTATCAGGAATGGATAAGGTTGTGGATAAGGTCATCATTGGCTATGATCGGGAGAGGGAGAGACAGACAGAGACTGGTTCATCCAAAAGAGAGAGAGAGAGAGAGAGAGAGAGAGAGAGAGAGAGAGAGAGAGAGAGAGAGGACTGAAGTTCAATGTCTGTGCCAGCCTGAGGTTCAATGTTTGTACCAGGTGCAAAGTCTTGGTCCGTCCGTCCTGGGCATTCCAAGCTCCCAGTTGAAATTTTAAATTTAAAAGTCCGTCTAACGGCTAGTTTTTAAAATCTCTGGTTCTCTGAGAGTGTGATGGGATTGTTTTTATTTTATTATTACTTTTTTTTTAATCGTCGACAGTTTTTTAAGCTTGAGATAGGAAAGTTGAAGATTGATTTTCGGAATAGCGTTTTCATTTTCGTTTCATTTTCGTTTCATTTTCGTTTCATTTTCGTTTCATTTCCGTTTCATTTTCATCATTATTCTTGCCATTATATAACGTAGACGAGTGGAAGAAAAAAAATAAATCCAGACGATTGAGATTTTTTATTAGTGAAAGCAAGAAAATAAGGGGGGGGGGGGGGGGGGAAATATATATTTTTTTCCAGACGACTAGGAGAATTTCCCCTTTAAGTTTTTTCTTTTCTAACCATTCGCATTGCTTAAGTGTATTTATAAAGCAGTAAAACAAGGAAAAGTGAAAACCCCGATTTTATTTTTAGTTTTATGTTTATTGCCTGCAGCTGCTCGCCTGATCAGCTTTTTTAAGCATTCAATTTTCTGTTAAAAAAAAAGAGAAAAAAACAGAAAAAGTCCAAAAAAAAAAACAAAAGAAAAAAACGAGTGAAAGGAGAGTTTTCAGTCTAATATTATGTGATCAGTGTTCTATCGGACCACAATTTTCATTTTCATTTTTATTTTATTTTATTTTGAAGGCCACAAGAAGTGTATATTAGGCAAAAATATCCAGCGGCCTAGCTCAGTTGGTAAGGCACACAAGTGGCATTCAGGAGGTCTTGGGTTCAATCCCCATTGGCCTCATGTACCTTCCTGGGCAAGCTTGATGCCCGCCACCTAGAGATATCATGCCGTTGGTCCCCCCGAGTGGCATTGAGCAGAGACTGCTGAGTGGCATTGAGCAGAAACTGCTGATGTTCATAGGGGGAGGGGACCGGAGGGGAGGCACACTGGCAGTGACTGGCCCATCGAAGAAGCTCGGTCCTGATGCTACCGGCTGACCCCTGGCCCGTATCGCCCACCTGCTGTAGCAGGTATTGCCCACCTGCTGGTGGGTGCAGCTCCTGCATGCTCCCTCGTTGGAGGCTTGAGCACGGATGTGGCTGCGACGGGTTAAGTGGACTGACTGGTGGTTCTTGGGTGTTGTGGAACGTTAATGAACTACTGTACCATTCTATCTGTTTGGTTTTGCTGTGACGTACTCAATGAGTATGTTCCGTTGTCTCATTTATCACATAGACCTTCCTGGGCAAGCTTGGTGCCAGCCACCTAGAGATATGCCGTTGGTCCCCCGAGTGGCATTGAGCAGAGACTGCTGACGTTCATAGGGGGAGGGGACCGGAGGGGAGGCACAGTGACTGGCCCATCGAAGAAGCTCGGTCCTGATGCTACCGGCTCACCCCTGGCCAGTATCGCCCACCTGCTGTAGCAGGTATAGCACCTGCTGGTGGGTGCAGCTCCTGCATGTTCCCTCGTTGGAGGCTTGAGCACACGAATGTGGCTGCTACGGGGTTCCCCGTAATACTATAACGACAATAAAAAAGGCCTGAAAGGCCGTCCTGTCCAGATTCGACAGGTAATTGAATTGGTTGGGCTTAAAGAGTTAGCCATATATTTTATTTTTTTTAAAGGCAAAAATTCTGAAAGGGGAAAAAAAAAAAAAAAAGCAACCAACTGACCTACCTCCGAAAAGAAGTCCGAAAAAGGACTGATTTTTCAATTTCGGGACTTTTCTTTATGTATGTATCAATACACATATGTTATCTATGATCTTCAAATATTAATTTATTATAATTAATATGTAGTAATGTATAGAACACCACCAAGATAGCTGTGTGAGTTCACCCGTCGTCGGCTGAGACAGCACAA